AAAAAGGAATGCTACCATTAATATCATATTTACTTCTCATCTATGGTTATTTTTACACATTTGTATCTGGACAGGCTCTTATGCGGTATGTGTAAAGACAGAATAGATGTCGTATCCTATAGATTGTAGAGGAAAGTTATTTATCACACGTTGTCGAGAGAGGTCTGTTTTATTTTAAAAAAGATGAATGATGATAATAATCAAAATGAATTAGCTATTAAACGTTTTGTTGAATATATACAAAATAAAAACAGTACAACCTGAACCAGATTATGATAATGCTGTCAAATTTTTGAAAAATTATGCAGAAGAACTTGATTTAGAATATCGTCTAATTAAAATTGATGAAGATCGACAAGCAGCTGTATTAACTTGGTTATCATCATCATCAACTGATAAATCATTATTACTCAATTCACATATTGATGTTGTACCAGTTTTTGAAGAAAATTGGATAGTTCCACCATTTTCAGGTGAAATTCGTGATGGAAAAATATATGGACGAGGTACACAAGATATGAAATGTGTTGGAATTCAATATTTGGAAGCTATTCGACGTTTAAAAATACATAGCATCTTGTATATGTATGCATGTGTATGAAATAGTCGGGTGTGGGTGTGAGTGTAGGTGTGGGCGTGGGTGTGAGTGTGGGTGTGGGTGGGTGTGGGTGTGGGTGTGGGTGTGGCTGGGTGTGTGGGTGTAGGTGGGTGTGTGGGCGTGGGTGTGGGTGTGGCTGGGTGTGGGATGTGGGTGTGGGTGTGGGTGGGTGTAACTGTTGGATAACATTACTCAAATCCACACCCACACCCACACCCACACCCACACCCACACCCACACCCACACCCACACTCACACCCACACCCACACCCACACCCACACCCAGACCCACACCCAGACCCACACCCACACCCACACCCACATCCACACCCACACCTACACCCACACTCACACCCACACCCCACACCCACACCCACACCCTTCTCAGAAAATGTTTTCATCTTTCGGACTTGGAGAGCTCTCTTCACTGGCCATTTTGGTAGAAAAATTTTTTTAACTTGATCAATAAATAACGATAGTAGAGTCAAAATACTCATAAGCATCTTAGGTCAATTGACCAGAAGAGTTTGAGATTTTTCAATATTCGGATCTTAGCATCGTTATTATTGATCAACTTAAAATTCTTTTTTATCAAAATGATCAGCGAAGAGAGCTCTACAAAGTCCGAAAGACGAAAACATTTTTTTGTGAACCTTATATTTTTATGGTTGACTAACCGTGAAAATGTTCAGTTTTATCCTTAAAATTTTTAAACTTCCCTTAATTCTATAGTCCGTAATCATCTATTGAATTACCATTCGTACCTATTAATCGCATTTTCGACGAGCTTTCATTTGCCGTTAGAGCTGTATCCACAGACAAAACATTTTTGGCAACCCTGTGCAAAAACGAAACTGATTTAGACACTTTTAGAGATTTATGCTTTTGTAAAACACGATCTAATAGAAGTATTCAAGTATAGAACTAGAAATTTAGACACTCGCCCTTACTCTTAGGTATCATTACGACGCCTCTCCTGCCATCACAAACCATGGCAGATATAGCCACGAAACTGAAGTTTATTGCGAAATTCGTGTGAAACACAATGGAATCTAATATACCTGTGTTTGGTCGTCTTTCCGCGCCCGCTATAAGTATATATAGTAATTGAAAAATTGATAGATATTTTGCTGAATCGTTTCATTTACAATATAAGAAGGTCTATTGTGTTTCATATATTAATCCTTCAGGGATTGCGCTAACAACTTTTTAAATGAAATAATAAGAAAATAATTAAATATATGAATGATTGTTATTCCACGAACTCGAATCACATCGTTTGCGATCACTATCCTGATATCTTTTATTTGGTCTTTTTTTTTAACATTTTAGAATTAATCATATTTCGTTCTCATTCTCATCTTACTCTTATTTCTTATCTTTTTCTTTTTGTAAATGAAATTCATACAATTGTTTAATAGTTTACGATCATATTTCAAATCTTCAATTACAAACATTTTTGAAACAATATTTTTTCCCATTAATTGTACCAAATACTTTATCAAAAAGTGTAGATTTACGTGTGAATAAATAACAAAACATGGCATCGCTTTTTAAAGTCACGCATATAAATACTTCTATTTTTTTTTTGATACAGCAGAGAAAACAAACAACAATTATCATGCAACATATGTTTGTTGTGATCATCATCTTCTGCTGCTTTTTTTCGATCCAAGGCAGCATAATTTTACCGAAAAACTCAAACATAAGCATAGGTAACATTTCTACTAAAACTTGTTCAATGATAACTGGATTTATTCGGCATTTTAGTTCTTTCACATATAAGGGAGAAAGTTACCGTTACGTTACCGAGTAATGGGTAACGAAAAATTTGTGGACTTGAAAATTTCGTTAAGGAAAGGCTGTGTTAGGAAAATAACTATATTTTATAAAGTGTGATCAAAGGTGAACGGGGTCGCAAAATTTGAATCTAGATGCAAATGAATATACCCTCAGATTTTAGCACCTGTTCGTAAATAATAAAAGAAGTCCTTTCTTTGTATCAGATATTCTTAAATGATTTGGCTAACGTTACTTGATTAGAATCACTCAAAAGTTAATAAAATCATGGAATAGACTATCATAGAACGAAGAATCAAATAGGCTTTAAAAAGTTTCTGTTTTCATTATTTGATGTGAAATAAAATATTCTGATGATTTCACCGATACAGAGATGTATTCATATTCGATCTTCCTTCTACTGTTAAAGATGTCTCTCTGATATGTATCAGCAGCTTCATATATTGATCGCAACAGATTTTGCATACACTGATAATTTTTATTCAAAACTTGTGATACTAAACAATTAGTTCAAGAAAAAGATGTCATTCGATATAGTCGATTAAAGACCGAAACACACGTACGCAGAATACTGAAATATTGCATATGTAGACCACTCGACAACTGTAAGCGCACCAAAGCCTTTTCCCAATTATAGCCAAATTCTGAATACTTGAATGACGTTGATAACGTATTTCACGATCGTATGAATTACCTACAATTTTTTAACTATAGACTCCTTCTATTGCCAATTAAGATCTCTACCAAATTTGATATTTCATTTGAATATAATACATTCCTATCGTAGATTTTTAAAAATATGGTATCCATATATTTTCCGAACTGTTTCATTTAAAAAAAAACAAAAGTTCGACTTTTCATTATGACAATCTTAAGTGAGTAAAAAGAAGGAACATTCGCCTACTCACCCTAAAATAGTTTGTAGCTTACGTGAAACGACTTTTAAGTTATTTTAAAGCGAGATACTTGTAAGCTGTTTAAAACATTTGGCATAAAAAGTCTGAAAAATATGAATTAATGTAATAAGGCTTCGATAAATGTTTATTGACTAATAATGAAATTTGCATCAGTTACAATTTGTTCCATGATTATTTCTAGATAAACAAGTCGATAAACTATCAGGATGGGGAATGCTGAAAATCAATCCAAACGCATTCATGTCCATCATTTATCAAAATTTCAAGATTTCTATATACAAGCGAGACAGTAACGAATCAAATGAAGCACAGTATTATTATTCTCCAGCGCTTATTTTCGATCCGGAGTCTCCAGTCTATGCTTATAATGTATTTACTAAGAAACACGAAATAACTTTCAAAGTTCTGATGTGGGATGACTCATACGAGGATTTCATTTGCGAAGCAATATCAAAAAAACTTGGAAAAATAGTTTCTCGAAACGACATTCTGACCTTACCAATTGAAGAGATTCGTATGGATGCAAGTGGGCACTCAGCCGAATATGAAATGGTCAATAAGTGGATTTCTTACGCTAGTCAGCCATCGAGCTTTGATTTTCGCATGGTATGCAAAACTGTAGAAACTTGTAAAGAAATTACCGAAACGATGAAAACAAATCCGAAACACATACTATCTGATCTTGTCGTATACTACAGCCTACAGAGTCAGAAGAATATCAGAAGATTATTATCGATAAAAGCAGAACACATCCAATCCTCGACATTGTTCACTGTGTTGAACCAAATGTTTATCAATCGAGATGTAGTCTATCTGCAGGCAGACGACGCAAAAAGGTTGTCTTTGGAAATTGCTTCGAATGTAATGGCAATGGAAGTAGTTGATGATGAGTTTGTAAGCCAAGATCAGCAAGTGACCATTGCAAATCTTCTTGATAACATTCTTAAATTGAAGACGGTTTCCACGAAAATATTCGAGACACAAATGTGGGAGTCTGTGTTCTGGCAGAACGAGAATTCACGACCGGATAAAACAACCAAAATATTAAACGATTTCTTCAACAAGAGTGACAATAAACTTAAAGAGTTAATTAAAACTGAAATGCATAAGATACAATCCGGTAACGGTAATATCGATGTAGGAATTCCATTTCTTGAGGGTCTGGTAAACGCCAACGCAGGAGGAAGCATCAACTTGGACACGCTGAACAAAGAGGAAAAGGAAAAAATTGTGGAAGCATTGAACGAGCTCAAAAATGTCAGCGAATGGAATGGCGAAAAGTTTACCCCGAAGTCATTTTCGCTCAGCCGAATAAATCTGGCCGCACTACGGACCAATTCGCAAATTACGACCATGCAGGTCCGCGTAATGAAAACTTCATCCGAATTAACTACCAGAATCAACATTATAAACGATACTCGACTTTTAGAGAATCTACGTAAGGTGACCGAAATCGAGGCATTCATGAACAGAGAATGCAAGAAACACACTGAGGCCATACAAAACGACACCTTTCTCATCCGTGCCCACGTTTCAGAATTGGAGAAAAAACAGGAGCAGTTAATTCCGATTGGCTTCACTTATGTTCAGTTTCCGCAACAATCACCACCAAAAGAAATATGGAAAACATTCGAATGGAAGGACGTCACCTCTCTGTATGCTGGAGTCTTTTTTAGAGCCGAAGGTTCAAGTGCAGCACCATTTGGAACCGTGCAAAGCGAAAACACCCCAAGAATTACACACATCGCCAAATGTTCTGGCGTTCGAGATACATCAGCTCAGTTAGATTTCACAACCATAAGTGGATGGAGTGCCTCAATTAATACTGGTGGAAATGATGACTGGCGCAGCTGTCTCAAATTTCACGTACGATCAGGGGAGTTGCGACCAATAAATATGGCCATTAGAATATGGAAACGTATTTAGATTTCTAAACTATTTTCACATTAAGCGTAAATCATTCTTAAGAACCAATGGGGAAAGTACTGAAAATCGGGTTTTTTTCTGATTTTTTTGTCGATTTTTTTTTATTGAAATTTGATTTTTTTTGATTAAATCAACTTTAATAAACAAATTTTTTTTTAAACAGCGATTAAAGTTGTCAAAATGTCGAATTATTTTATTCTCCAATCTAGTACAGATGACTCGTAAGATATCTCACGGATTACACCTGAGTGTTGAAAATACTGCATTCCGAAAGTTACCAGTCGAACGTAAGAAACATTCAGAAATTGTTTTCTAGGAAGGCCACTAAGAACGACATGTTAGTTCGTACATCGGAAAAAAGAACAAGGATGTGGGTGTGGGTGTGTAAGTAAAGAACACCCACACCCCACACCCCACATCCCACATCTACCTCAGAAACTACTCGTTTAAACGCGAGCTGAAAATATTGATATCGAACCGATACGACTGTTTTTCCAAAGCTTGATGAAGAGGTTTCATTTTATTCTGAATAGAGTTCCAAAATAAGAAATTTTTGTGGACTTAGTCCTTTTCGCGTTTCATGATAATTAACAGCTATGAATACAGTTGACAATAGATAATGAATCATCTAGATAATTAAACCATCAATTGATATCGTTCGTGAGAAATATGTTGATACGCTTTGATTGAGTTCTCGTAGTGATGAATTTTGCCATGTCTGCCTTTCAATCACTCTTCTACTTCAAAGACCTGATCGGTCGAAACTTAAATTTTAGAATTTACAGGGCAGAAAAGAACCATTGATTCCATTGAAGCCTATATATCGTTACGAAAAAAAGCGATTTCAGATTACACCGTAAAATCAATTATTCGTTGTTTAGGAGAGATCCCTTTTTTTCCTGATACTGCAGATTCGCGCTTTGCACCACATTTCGTATTCGAGTGAAGCTCGCATACCATCTAGTTTTTCTATTCATTTCTCTTCTAATTGTATAACTAACGTTTTATTTCGCATGATTGACTTTTTTCTTTAATCGTTCTTGATGTTTTATATATAAGCATGTGTAGGGTATGTGAGCAATAAGATACGTAAGGTGAAAATAGGGCTTAAGTCAGTCGTTTATTTATATTTGAGTTAATGTCTTCTTGATTTTTGCAGAAAATTCTTTTTCGTTTTTGTGACGTTTCGGCAGATGATGTTGTCTGCTTCAGACTTTATTGATGAAAAATAAAATGTACTAGATAACATATATGCCTTAGTTTTTTCTTTTTCTTTTCTGTTCTAATTAATATTTGATAGTAGGTCGAAACAAGATAACAAGAGAAAGTCACTTTTACCAGCCATTACCATCTTACCGACCTACTATCAAATTATAATAAACACAGATAAGGAAAAAAAGATAAAGAAAAAGAAAATTCTAGAAGAACACAGGAGAGATTTATTTAAATAACTGTCTTATTTAATTCCTATTGATTATTATTGAAAATGTTTCATATTGCTTTGGTGACTGGTGCTGCACGAGGAATAGGATGTGCAATTGCTCTTCGTCTTGCTAAGGATGGTTTCACTGTCGCTGTTATTGATTTAGAAGCTAGCTCTTCTGATCTTCAAAAAGTTCAACAAGAAATCGAAGAAATTGGTCGAAAATCGATCGCTATAACTGCTGATGTTTCTGACAGTGAATCAGTCGAAAAAATGATGCAAGAGGCTGCACAAAAATTAGGAAGTCTAGACGTGTGTACTTTTCACTCTTTTCCATTGCTTTACCTTTCTTTTTTGTAATCAATTCTACATGTAGTAGTCTCAAATGCAGGAATTGTTGACACAAAATTGCTCTTAGATACAACTGTAGAAGATTGGGATACAGTTTTTGCAGTAAACATGCGTGATGTATTTCTTTGTTGCAAAGAAGCAGCTAAAATCATGATTAAACAAGGTAGAGGAGGAAAAATCATTGTTGCATGTAGTACTCGTGGATATAAACCATGGCCAATGGTCGGTGCTTATTCCGCCAAAAAATGGGGTGTACGAGGTTTAACACAAGCTGCTGCTATGGAATGGGCTCCATACAATATTACAGTCAATGCTTATTGTCCAGGTATGCGTTAGATTCTTTTTGAATATTAAATATGAAATTTTATCAGGGTTGATCAAGACAGTGCTGTCTGACAGTGTTAACGAGAAATTGGCAAAATTTCAAGGAACGACAGCAGAAGAGATTGTGAACGATTCTGTAAAAAGCATTCCACCTGGTCGCATAGGATATTCAGATGATGTCGCAAACTTGGTTTCATTTCTTGCCAGCAAAAATTCTGACTACATTACTGGACAAAGTATTTTAGTTAATGGTGGGACAGTTCTTTGTTAAATTTTAATTTATATCTATTGCAAAATAAAATTTATCTTATACTACATATATAAAATATTTGTCTTTTGTCATTTAAAAAGCATCATATAAAAGATAATAAAAACTTTTTCCATTTTATTGAAATGTGCTAATTAATTTTAAAGGTCTCTCAAAAACAGCCAATTTTGATCAAATCCATCGATTTTGTGATTCGTAGCTCGTTAGATAGAGCTAGATGTCTACTTTCGAATGCACTATAGTTTATGGATTTTATGATGAGATTTAAGGATATTACAATAGATTTTTCTGAACCTTCCACCAAAGAAAATAACGTTTTTTCTAAAAACTTTTGGTTGTTTCTCAAAATAAGGCTTTTGATTTTTACAGTTCCGTGCGTCCCATATTTCTCTGCCATTTTAAACGCTATAAAGCTGGGTTTGGTGTCAAAATGAAGACAAAAATTAGCTCTACAACTTAACAGAGCCGGATTTTTCGATTTCTCACTTGATGTTTATAAAAAACTAACTGTTCTGGACCTATACTCCTTGGATTTTTCATATGCCATCAAAGGAGTTTTCTAAAAACACAAACTAAGAGAAAATCGAAAAATCGGACTCTGTTAAGTTGTAGCGCTAGATTTTGGCTACATTTTAAAACTAGCTCGAACTTTCTAGACATCGTTGACCATTACAGAATGTTCCCTCACAACAGAAGATCTTGAATCTGTACTATTACTATCACCTAAACTTCTTCATCTTAAACTGTTTTCTTGCAAACAGATAATGGACACAATTTTTGATGGTTCTTATTGGGAGCAACTTATCTCTACTATTCTACCTTCACTGAATAAATTCGAATTCTTGTTTTCATGTGATCCTGTTGATGAAGATAATATTGTTAGTCTCCAATCATTGATTATTCCATTTCGAACACCGTTCTGGCTCGAAAGAGAACATTGGGTGGGTGTGGCTGTGGGTGTGGGGTGTGGGTGTGGGTGTGGGTGTGTGGGTGGGGTGTGGGTGTGGGTGCGGGTGTGGGTGTGGGT